AGGGCAATGAATGTACAAAGGTGCTTTACACAATTGATGTATGTGTGGATTGTGATAAGAGTCATATGAGCCCCTAATAAAATGATAAAAAAAACCATGTGAAAAAAAAATCAAGAAAATGATCTTAAAAAAAAAGACTTTACATAGAAAACACTACTACAAGATACCAAAAGAGATTTACAAGTTTTATTCAGGGTTCCCCCCACTCCCCTTCCACCCCGTAAGAAGTTGCTGCACCTGGTTTTCCCACCAAGCGAAGTTTAATTGCCTTTTCTGAGATGGACACGTCTCCCTTCCCCATCTTGATTGGAATTCCCAGTAAGGTTCGCTGAGTATTCTTGTGGGAGTGTCTGTTGATTTGGGGTGACCTTAGCCCAGTGGTGTATGGCAGCAACTGAATGCCCTTCTCCTCCCCGCATCTTGAGAAACACCCCAGGCGAGGTGAAGTTTTCGAGAAGAATGCAGTGGCGGAGGGTAGACCGCTTGCTGGCCTCTAAATAGTGAGGGTTGGCTCTTAATAACAACGAAAGAGCTCCACCGATGTGGACCCCTGCTTCAAAAGGGCGAGTGGGGGACTTTCTGCCAGGTCACAGCTTGCCGACTCCTTCCTCCGTCATCTACTTCCTCTGCAGCCCTACTGTCTGCCCCACCCTGCCTGCCTATGCACCCTGCTCTGTCCCCGTACCTACATAGCTCTGTTAAGGGGAAGGAGGGAGAGAAGTGGGCACAGTAGGTCCTGGCTCTTGGGCGCTGCAGTAGCAAGTTGATTTTGCAATAACCGCGGGTCATTATGCAACCCACTGGTCATCAAGGGCCCTCAGATTCCTGGACTTCTGTGATATCCAGACACTGCAGAGACCCTCACTCGCAGGGTCGCAGTGCAGGCCGATTAAGCTCATGAGCTGAGGGTACCGTGCAAGCTCTAAGATGGCCCGTGCATCATAATCAATGGCAGTGGCAGCTTTCCAGAACCCAGGTGGAGGTGAGAGGGAATGAGCCAACACGGAAGAAAATTACTTTATTTCTTGAAGGGAGTTCTCAGGAACTAGGGCTGGGTGGCTCAGGTTACAAAGCATAAATAGACAATCTGCCAAGAAAAGTCTCATTCGCCTAGAGCTCTTGGAACCCTGGAGGAAGCAACTTGTGAGTGTCTCTGTTCCTGTTGCTCATTTTATTTTCCCCACATCCCGGGATAGTCCCTTGCCCCACTTTGGCCATTTATCTAACTGGCATGGGAGAGGGAGGTGTGTAACCCTTCTGGGGTGGGAGCTGGGGGCCTAGTGGATAATAAGGGGCTATCCCACGTCTCATTTGACTACATTGCCTCAGTGCTTTCTGGGTTGGGGAGAGAGGTGAGTGGGAGGTGAAAGCCCTCAGACCCCAGAAGCCGCCATGTGGAGACCTCAGGCAGAAACGAGTCTCAACTTCCCCTGCGGTTCCTTCTCTACCCCTACTTCCTTCAGAAGGAAGGAAGAAAACCAGGTCTTCAAAGACCTGGGTTCTAAGTCCATCCCAGGACCAACGGCCTTTTGGACGTGAACAAATTTGCTTCTCTCTCAGCCTCCAGTCGCTAGCTTTAAAATACACGTTCAGAACTAGATTTCTGGCCCCAATGTTAGGTAAGTGAAAAACGTTTTGTACAAAATCTTTTAAAACTAATCTTTCTGTTTTCAAAAGAAAAAAAATCCCCCACCCACCCACTCTGCCCCCCTGAAAGCTTAGTGTAATTGAACAGTGCTAGGTTGGAGCGGCCTGTGGCTGTTCTCGCTTCCTCCGCGGCTCCAACTAGGGCACCTCTGTTGAATTCCGGGTAAACAACCTCTCAAGGAACTCCTTTCTCGCCCCTTCCTACTAACATGGGCTGCAGCGCTTTCTGCACCTACTCGAGCTGCCAGACAGGATGCCTGTTGCCTTTCGTTCTCTAGATCCGAGGCAGCAGAAGGCCAGGGGACACTGCCCCTACGGTGACCAGGACTTGGCCCTGGCCTTGGCGTTGATGCCTGAGCCTCTGACTGAGCACCGAGCAGCAGCTGATCCCAGTCCGCTGAGCTTACTGAGTAGCTCACAAGGTGTCTAGGGTCTTTCAGGACACCCAAGTTACTTGCAAAGTCAAAAACTGAACGCGGCTGGTACAAATTAGGGGTGATTAGAGTGCAGAATCACACGCAGCTGGGGTGGGAGTCGGGTAGTAGGATTTCTCTGGCCACCCAGGGTTTCCTTCATTTCCACCCAACCTGCTTGGTAACCCCTCTTTCTTTGCACATCTCCCTCTTCTAAGGTCCCTGGGACCTTGTTCCCAGGCTCTCAAACCCCCTGTCTTTCTTTCGCTTTCCTAACTTTTGAGTTTCGCTCCGGGAGACAAAAGGTGACCAACATAAGAAATGGCCCAGGTTCTGGCCCAACCCTCATTTCACTTACTGATAGGTTCTGAGACTCTCTCAGCTGGTACCTGGAAGCCCCATTAAACGGTTGTTCATCCTTCCCCCAACTTGTGTTCCACCAGACTGCTTTGTCACACACACCCCCTTCCCCCTAGAACATCCGCTTTGTAGCTCTGAAACCTTCTGCTGGGTTCCCCTGGGGAATTTACTGTGGAGACAGTAGTGAGCCCAGGAATGGGCACATCTCCCAGCAAACATGTGCCGGCCTGTGCGAGTGACGGACATCATGAACCACTGGGTTCCTGGCTCCTTCTCAGACCAGCACTGTGCTTACCTTCTACTGTACGCACAGCAGTTTGTAAGAAGAACAGGTTTGTCTTTTTGGAGCTAGACCAGCCCCCTCCATTGAACATACAGGGAGAAAGAGGTCCTGCAAGGGAATGGGCCCTACTAAGGTGACCAGATTTAAAGCGGGACACCATTGACGGCGGGAGGAGGGTTCTTGATTAAAAATTTAGTCTATATGGACCAAATAGACCGTTCCAAAAGTCGGGACTTCTTTAAAACACCAAAAATCAGGACTGTCCCACCAAAAGTGGGACTTCTGGTCACTTACCTTATACAAAGGTGCAAGAGAGTCCTTTGTTTTGTGAAAGACGATCTCAGTGAAGTATGGTCCATCTTAGCTGCTGTCTGATGGCCCTATTAGAAAGAAAGTATAAGAAGGGGTGGCATAGGACATTTGAGAATAGGTAGAGACTGCTGGGGACCATGTCAAAGCTCCAATTGGGTGAGTCATACCCCCAAAGCCAAAGTACGGTCTATCTTATGCTTAACCCTATAACACTGAGCGTGACATTTTTGTAACATTTAATTAAAATATATATATTTATATATATATATATTGATAACTATGAAAATAAAGAATAAAACCAAAAAAATTTCCCCTGAAATTAAAAATGCAGGCGTTGTAGGGCTAAAGTGCTTTGGGAGCCCTGCGATCCTGCCGCCATGGATGGGAAAGAGTAAGCATGGCTGGCTTCTTTTGACCTCCCAGAGCTGGGTCAAGCTTCAACTCATGCCCAGGACCAAGCACATGTTCAGTATCTTCTTGTCCATCTCCTCAGGCCATGCTGCTCCTGCCGTTCTCTACGCTGGTCCTACTTACACAGCTCTCAGAATCCCTGGGAGCGGAAGTGGGGACCTATTCCCAGAAAGCAGTCGCCAACGCCTGCACCTTGGTCGTGTGTAGTCCCGTGGAGAATGGCTTGCCTGGTCGAGACGGACGGGATGGAAGAGAGGGGCCCCGGGGCGAGAAGGGGGATCGAGGTGAGCTGGGACTCTGGGCGTTTGGGGGAAGCGATGGACATTGGGATTGCAACCAACTAAAGGGCCCTGGATATTCTGCTACGGAAATTTTGCAGATGGGCTGGCTCCTTTCCAGGGTGTGTGTTTCATGCAAACACTGAGTCCACATCAAACCCTTCTGGACTAGTTGTCAAGTGATTGCTGCCCTGAGCCCCAAGTGCCTTCCTCTACCATCCCAGCTGCCCCGTTTCTCTTTCCAAGAATCCTCCAAATTCTTCCCAGCCCAAGAATGGGCAGAGGAGGGAGCTGGGGCTCGGAAATGAACGGTCTCCAGCATTCAGCAAGTGTTTATATTCTGAACAACTGTGCCAGATGTTCACTATTTTGAATACCCTCCCTTCCACATGATGAGGCCCCAGGCTCAGGCCTGATAGGGCAGATTTTCCCGAACACATTCAGGAAGGAAGGAAAGGGTGCTCATATTTCTTTAGTCAGCCCTGTGTTTGGTGCTCACTTTAGTAACTCAGCCGTCCTCCGGCTTCATCCAAGTAACCATCATAGCAGAAAGCTGGACACAGTGTCTTCAAAAAGACAGCCGTGTGTGTGTGTGTGTGTGTGTGTGTGTGTGTGTGTGTGTGCACATGTGCACGTGCACCCATGTGTGCTGAGGCCGAGCAAGGGCTGGCCTACAAGGAACTAGCACCGTTCAATGCAGGATTTTCCTCATTCGTTACCCTTGTCTCATGACTTAAGTTTCGACTACACATATGCTGTAGATCACGTCTTGGTACTCATCTTCTCAGAGCTCTCATAAAGCAGGTGAGAGGCTCTTCACGCCCATAAAATTCGACAGTCCCAGAGGAGACCCCCACGTTCAGTTCTACTCTGTGTTATGGCATCACGCGGTGTTGGAATGGACTCAACGGTAGTGAATTTCTGATAAGCGCCAAGCAGGTGCTCCACGTGTGGTTTCTTAGTTGAACACACACACACACACACACACACCCAGAGTGAAACAATGAGCACATGGACAAACAACTGAAAGCACAAATTAACACCTATATACATGCCATTTCTGATATTGATGTTGGGTCTGGGAAGGAGAGAGCAAGGAGAATGGGGGCAGGGGCAGGAGCACAGCATTGCACACGCAGGTAGGCAGGTCTTGGCTTGAAGCTAGCGTATAAGTGTGATCCCAGGCCAGTGCGTTTTCTCACCTGTAAGGAACACTCACAGCCCATCCTGCATCTCCACAGAACCAGTGTGTCTGGCAGTGGAAGGGAATTGTCTATACGCTGCAGACTCTGAATGAGTGCAGGCGGCCTGACCCCTTGAGACAGCTGGCTCCTTCTGCCTTTATATTCACCGAGACCTTTTCTCCCCCTGCTGCTGTAGGCTTGCCAGGAGCTATAGGGAGAACTGGGATGCCTGGACCAGTTGGCTTAATTGGGCCCAAAGGGGACAATGGCTCCATTGGAGAACCTGGACCTAAGGGAGACGCTGGACCATGTGGTGAGCAGTTGGGTAGGGGATCAAGATGGCTCTAGGCAGTGCACCTGCTGGACAGGATAAGGCATACTCTTCCTTCCAGAGACCAGCAATCATGCATAGCGACCAGCCCAGAAACAACGAAGACCACGCGAGCATTCGCTGATTTCTGATTTCCAGGCAGACTAGGCCTCCTGTTGGGTTGGACTCTTTCGGATGAAGCTGTCTGTCTGACCTCTGTCTTATTACACACTCCTGCTTCCAGGGGAAGGCAGTCACTGAGCTCACTGCTCCTCTTCTCCAGGCCCTCCAGGCCCCCCAGGTCCACCTGGTCCAGATGGAAGAGAGGGGCCTTCCGGGAAGCAGGGGAACATAGGACCCCAAGGCAAAACAGGTCCCAAAGGAGAGGCTGGACCCAAAGGTAGGTGATGAGCCTGAGGTAGAAGGGATGACTGTTTGTGGAAGTCCTGCTGGGCCTTACAGCATGCTCTGAATGCCAAGCACATAGACTGTCAACGTGGGGAAGGGCTTGCTATGAGCTCCTACCAGCTCATGAAGGGACAGATCTAGTCTCCACGGAGCTCGAATGACAATATCCTCCCATTGCACTTCACAGAAGATCTTGGGCAATAAGGACCCTGATCTCCCCGGTTCTCTCTCAGCCTGGACTGTGGGTTCAAAGCTCTGCTGTTAAGGAAATGATACATGCTGATCACACTCTCAGCCATGTCCATCCCTATTTTTTCCTTCCTCAGGAGAAGTGGGTGCCCCAGGTGTGCAGGGCTTGGCAGGGACTAGAGGGCCCACAGGCTCGAAAGGAGAGAGAGGAACCACTGGTGAGCGTGGAGGCCCTGGCAGCCCAGGGGCAGCAGGTAAGAGAAGGAAGGAGCTGGAGCCGGGGTCCTGTTTCCAGGTACTCACACAGAGCGATCACTGTCCCCCCGCCACCACCACTAAAGCCACCAAAGTCACAAAGTCAGAACGAACATTGTTGGACAGGTGGGAGAATCAAGACCCAAAGCAGGTGCGTTGTTGGGCACTGGGAGGGTGCCGTTCTGAGCAGGGCAAGGAGTTCAGCCAGTGCAGGGAGGTGGATGGCTGAGTGATGGAGACCTGTGCTCAGGGGGGTGACTGGTGGGTCCTGGGGACAGGCTGTATAAGGGTGGCCGATGGCTGAGCAACGGTATTCATTGCTGTACAGGGCGGGTACATGTTTGGAGTCTGGGTACTGGGCAGTCAGGACATTTGGTGTGCCTAAAGGGTGTCAACGGCGAAATGGGTACATAGTGCTTCTCCTCTGATTCCAGGGCCTGCTGGGATGGTGGGACCACAAGGACCTCCAGGTGCCAGGGGTCTCCCAGGACTGAAGGGGGACAGAGGTGTCCCTGGGGAGAGAGGTGCCAAGGGAGACAGTGGACTTCCAGGTAAGGCAATGCCCCTGGCTCTGGGAGTCCCCACTGGGGCACAGGTGGAAGGGCGCTCACCCGCCAGTGCAGGCAGCCTCCCCTCCCTGCTGTCTGTGTCCCGTGGGCTCCAGGAAGTGGGTGGGCTACAGCACAAAGATGGCAGACTGGAAGGGAGGAGAAGGAGGCCCTGGGTTAGCTTTTAGTACCTGTTGGAAGGCAAACTTGGGCAGTTTCTCCATCTGACCGTTAGGAAAATTATAGCTTCCTTTCCAACTCACGGGACTGCTTTGAGCTGTCACTAACCCAGTAAATGGGAGTATGCCAGGGATATGTCATCATATTAAACAAAAATCACTTCAACAATAGCAAAAACAAGTCAATCCTGACTTAGGACAACCCTGTAGTTATATGGTTAGTCACTGAATGCGTCACCCAGCACCCCATTCGGGACCCTTTGCTAAACAAAGGGGACGTGAAATCACACTGGTCTACAGACTTCGGCGTCAACAAGTCCTCTGATTTGGTGTCGAGAAAGGGCAGGGGCCGGAGTCCGGGGTGGTGTGGTTGGGTTACAAGGTGGGCTGCTAACTGCAAAGTTGGTGGTTTGAGCCCGCCCATCACTCTGTGGGAGAAAGATGAGGCTCGCTGTTTCCATGACAATGTACAGGCTCAGAAACCCTAGGGGGCAATTCTACTCTGTCTTATAGAATCGCGCTTAGCTGACATCAACCCAGTCAGTGGCTGTGGGCTAGAAGGTTCAGGAACCTGCTCAGGGTCAACCCAACAGTCCCTTCACACAGGAAATCTCGGGAGCTAGGAGACTTGCCAGGGTCAGCCCCAGCTCCACCAACTAATATATATGCCTGCAAGTAGGCACCCTTCACCAAAACCCAGGCTTCGAGCCACTCCCAGCTGCCCTGGAAGGTCCAAGTCCTCACCGGAGCCCTTCCTCTGTTGCAGATGTCGCTACTCTGCGGCAGCAGGTGACTGCCTTGCAGGGACAGGTACAGGCCCTTCAGGCTGACTTCTTGCAGTACAAGAAAGGTGAGTCCCTGCACCTGGGCCTGGCTCAGCCTCGGCCCCAGACTCACGCTTGTGCCTTAGTTTGGGCCTCGGCTGGGGCTAGATCTTCAGCTAGGCAGTGGTGCCATTAAGGGTGTGGACCCCCCCCACCCCCCTGCCACTGTTGGAGGAGATGACCCCATAAAAAATGACCTGTGGCTCCTGTGACTGACGTAGGTGAGCTGATACCACAGGGGCAGGGCATCACTAGGGTCAGTAGCATCACTAGGGTCAGTGTCATTGTGATAATTTGTCATCCCTCCCCTCCCCGCATCAATCAAAGGTCTGACAACTGGGCCTTAGTGCTCGCCATTGGGGACTGGTCTGAGCCAATAGGAGAGAGGAGGAGCAATGGGGGAGCCCTGGGGGTATGGCCAGGAGTGGGGAGCCGCAGCATGCTATACTTGGTGAGGGGGGTGGGATGGGCTGAGGCCTGGGGCCAAGGTCCTCTGCTCATAGTTGGGGGAGGTTCACCAGTTGGCTCCACCCACAGGAGGTCTGGGGGTGGCACCATGACTTACAGCACTGTGTGACACCAAGCCTAGGGACACTACTGGCCAGGCCTGAGGCTGAGCCTGGGTCTGGATCTGGGTCTAGAATGGGAGGCAGGGCCACTACATGCTTCAGGAGCTGGAGGTAGGTCCAAGCGACAAATCAGAAGATGCTACAGGTCCTCAGCTCCTGGAGCTGGTACCACATGTGTCTCCACGTGCCCCGAACTGGACTGGTGTCAAGTTCTGTTCAGTTCAGCCGATCTTCTCTGCTACCTATGCCACAGCGGTACCTATGGTAGAGAGGCCCTCAGCACCAAGACAAGGGGAGGCCTTTCTTCCCTCTGGGGGAACAGTTGTGAGAGAGCACAGAGGTGTTGCTGCCCAGCCCAAGGCAGCCCCGAATCCAGGTTGCAGGTTGGCTCCTAAATCCCCACCCTCATGGAGAAGAACGCGCAGCGTCCACTGCCACCTTCCCTGCTTCCATGAACACATTCACACAGACATGTACACACAACACAACCACACGGATGCACACACATGTATACACTTAAGCACAATCACTCAGTGCACATGTGAAGATGCACACATGTAGGTGTGTACACCTTTCCAGGTGGGCTTCTGCATGCCCATGTGGCTTCCAATAGACACATGGGCACATTCCTGTCTTCCCCTGCACACTAACCGGACACAGCTCAGAAACAGAGGAGTAGCACACCCTCTGCCTCTGACCTTGTCCTGGGCTGTTCCGAGTGCCATCCTGAGCCCTGGGGCAGCCTGTGGAAGCCACTTAGAGGGGAAGGAAGTTGGTGAGGGTGCAGCCTGGACCGTGGCCAGCCTCAAGAGGTCAGGGTGGCCTTTGCAGATTTCCATGGGTCTCAGAAGTCACCGGGTTAAGAGGTGTGTGTGTGTGTGTGTGTGTACACAAAAGCAAGCACTGGACTTGTCACACCGGCCATTGTGCAGTAAGACACCACGTTAGAGACGAAGAATGTGATGTTTGAAAAGAGAAGGAAGCGATTTCCCCTGGCCCACTTTGATGGCCTGCCAGGAGGGTGCTGACGTTCCGGCCTTCTGACTCTCAGCCAGGCCCCTCTTCATCGCTGCCTCCACCCCTTCCTTGATATGTGCACACACACACACACACACAAACTTCAGATGTCCTTGTGTTCTCACTCTGCCCTTCGGGGTGATGTCGACTGGCTAGACGGTCACCCCCATCCAGACCATTCTAGAATTTGGAGTTCCAACTCTCCCCTCACCTCTTCCCTCCACCCCACCACAAGGCACATAGCGTCTCGGATCTGCAGTGGTGAAAGCGGGCTGGCCTGCGCTACTCCGTGCCATTTATCTGGGTTTATCTAGTCTTGCCACGTTTCTGTAGTCACTGAAATACTGACTCAGGCGTGCAACACGGAGTAAACGTGAGAGCGTTCCAAGCTTTGCGATGAGAAGGACCTAAGGCCACGGTTGATGGCTGTGTGATGTTGAGCCTCTTACTTAGCCTCTCTGAGTTCCAGGGTTTTCCTCCGACAAAGGGGAGCCACGTGGCCAGTTTGTGGGGCTCTAGAGTCACCACATCAATGGACCTGGGAGACTCTGGATCAGTCTGACAACTCCAGAGCCCTGGCACAGGCCCAACCTCTTCCTTCTCCCCCTAGTGGAGCTCTTCCCCAGTGGCCGGAGCGTTGGTAAGAAGATCTTCAAGACCAGCGGCTTTGAGAAGTCCTTTGCAGATGTGCAGAAGGTGTGTAAAGAGGCCGGGGGACAGGTGGCCACCCCGCGCTCTGCAGCGGAGAACGAGGCTGTTCAGCAGCTGGTCCTGGTGCACAACAAGGCCGCCTTCCTGGGCATGACAGACAGCAAGACCGAGGGCACGTTCACTTACCTGACCGGGGAGCCCCTGGCCTACACTAACTGGGTCCCAGGGGAGCCCAACAACAATGGCGGCGCCGAGAACTGTGTGGAGATCTTTACCAACGGCAAGTGGAACGACAAGAACTGTGGCGAGCAGCGCCTGGTGGTCTGTGAGTTCTGAGCTACCTAGGGGTAGGGCAGTGCCCTGCGCAGGAGCCGGGCGGAGTTTAGGGCCCAGATGTGTGTGGTGCCTACATCCCAATAAAAACCCTCCCTGCCAGGACTTTTCCGCAGAGCCACGTAGCAACCCCGGAAAGCAGGGCTACTAGTAGCAGTGCTTTGCTCAGATTGGGCGGCACAAATGATTAAGTACTCAGCTACTAAGTAAAACATGGATGATTCCAACCTACTCACGGGTGTCTCGGAAGAAAGGCCTGGCAGTCTGCATGAAAGTCCCGTGCAGCAGCTCTACTCGGCCACATATATGCCACCTGGGCAGCATCTAACAAAAACACAAGTCTGAACCTTCTCAAGGATGACCACTGGTTTTCCCCTCCCC